GCTCCTCTGATGCTGCTTGGCCTGCTTGGCCTGCTCTATCCTCCTCTTGCTGTTTTCTTCGGCCCTGGAAGACCAATTGTTATGTCATTCAATTACTCCTGTCTTCCATGCTATCACAGACCTACCTTTTGTCCTTGTTCCACCAGCCCTTACTCAGAATCCATTACATCTCCAATTTGTCTCAGTTGTGATGGAAGTCATTGAACTGAAACACTGACTCTGTTGCCCTCTCCATAGATGCTGCCCAACCCAATGAGCATTTCTAGCATTTTCTGATTTTATTTTGGATTTCAGGATCCACATTATTCTGCTTTTTGTTTTGTTTTAACTTTTTGCATGGTGAGTTTATTTGAAATGACGAAAGGAAGACACTAACACGATTGCTGTGCAACATTACAGCATGACAAAGCTTCGTAAACTATTTCACAGATCCTGTTCCTCTTCCTGTTTGGAGGCAGCTTTCCATCCCCATAATTCCAATCACTGTTCTTTCTCCACGCTTCAACTAACCCACTCAGTCTACCCCTATACACCACAATACTTTTATTTCCAAACGACCTCCATTTACACATCACAAACTGATTTTGCTTCTCTTGACTTCTGTGGATGTTGACACCTTTTAGAACTTCAATACGTATGATAATAACTAAATCTTCTAAAACTTAGACTGAAAGCCTTGAGGGAAACTGGTGCTGATATAGAAGTGTTCAACTGAAAGGTCTGGAAATACGAGATTCTCAACTGACCAACCCAAATTCAATCAACCAATCAGAATAATAATGGATTATATCTTACATTTGAGCAATGTGAACACGAAACTTTTATATTTTTTATTCCTAATCTTCATCTCTTAGGACAACTTTCAGAAGTACTTACCTGATTCTGGTGTTGTGCTGAAGACTGGGTCAGGGGGCATCCAGATGACTGGACAAACAGGATTCGGAATCAGAAGTGGGTACACTCGCTATGGAATACATTCAAGGGGCACAGCACCAGCACCATATCCCAAACCTCAGCATCTAGCTGCTGTTTCTGGAATTACTGGGAAACATGGGAGCAGTCATGATCAAGTAGATGGAGGGAGCGGAGGGGCTGGAGGCCTTGAGGGTCATGGAGGTCAGGGTAAGTACCTGAATATGGTTGACCCTTTGAATACAAGTCAGGTTTATTAAAACTTGCTGGCTTTGCCTTGTCAACAAGGTGAATAAACCTCACGTGGGAAAGCTGATGCAATCTCTGAATGCTTTTTTCTTGGACAAACTCCGCTTTTCTAGGAGAAAGTAAATGGAAATAAAACTGCAGTTTGTGTATGTGTGAGGGGTGGAGAGAGAGTGTGTGTGTGTGCGTGCGTGTGTGTGTGTCGGGGGGGGAGAGAGAGAGAGAGAGAGAGTGTGTGTCTGTGCTTGAGAGACAATGTGTGTATGAGAGAGGATCTGTGCGTGCGTGTGTGTGTGTGTGTGTGTGTGACTGAGTGTGTGTGTATGTACACGTTATGTGAGTGTGTGTGTGAGAGTGTATAGTGTGGTGGGGTCACCTGTAGAGTGACATGAATCCAAGATCCCGGTTGAGGCTGTTCTCATTGGGACCGAACTTGGCTATCAGCCTCTGCTCGGCAACTCTGCGCTGTTTTGTATCCCGAAGTCCACCTTGGAAGATGTTTATCCGAAGATCAGAAGCTGAATGTCTTTGACCGCTGAAGTGTTCCCCCACTTGGAAGGAACATCACTGTCTGCCAATTGTTGCACAGTGTCCATTCATCCATTGTAATAGCATCTCCATGGTTTCGCCAATATACCATGCCTCGGGGTATCCTTGCCTGCAGTGTATGAGATATATAATGTTGGCTGCATCACATGGTGGGTGGTGTTCCCACGTGTGATGACAGTGTCCATGTCGAAGATTTGACATGTCTTGCATGACATGGTGCCATGTGCCATGACACGGTGGCCTTGTCCATCCCAGTCCAACACTGGCCCCTCCACATCGCGCATGCTGTTGGCAGCAGCACCGTCTCAGATGCTCTGATGCAGTGCACTAATCACTTTGCTCCAAAGTTTGAGGTTAGTCTGGGTGGAAAAAGGCAGAAGATTGGAAAGAATGGCCCTGGTGTTATTTTCATACCAGAGAATCACTTATAAAGTCCTGAAGGCTGCCGAAATCATGAAATGCCCATCTCAATTTTATAGAATCATACAGTACAGAAGAAGCACTTCAGCCCATTAGAATATATTACTATCTACACTAGTCCCACTTTCCAGAACTTGGCCCATATCCTTGAATGTTATGGCCCTTCTAGTACTCATCCAAGTACATTTTAAAGGATGTGAGGTTTCCTACCTCAACTACCCTTCCAGGCAGTGCATTCCAGACACCCACCACCCTCTGGGTGAAAAACATTTTTACTAAATTCCCTCCAAGCCTCTCCTTTTCACTTTATACCCTCTTTGTTACTGACCGTTCAACTAAGGGGAACAACTGCTTTCTATTCACCCTGCCTATGTCCTTCATAATTTTATACACCTCTATCAGGTTCCTCTTAAAACATCTCTGCTCCAAAGAAAACAATACAAGATTATTCAGTTTATTTTCATTGCTGAAATGCTCTAACCCAGGCAACATCCTGGTGAATCTCCTTTGCAAACCCTCCAATGCAATCACATTCTTCCTATAGTGCAGTGACCAGAACTGCACATAGTACTCCACCTGTGGCCTAACCAAAATTCTGTACAGCTCAAACATGACCTCCTTGCTGTCATAATCTATGTCCCTGATGCCTTCTTGGCTGCCCTATTAACTAATCCTGCCACCTTCAGGGATCTGTGGACAAGCATCCCAAGATCCCTCTGTTTCTCTGAGCTTCCTAGTGTCTTGTTGTTTGTGCATCTCAAGTTTCAAATTGAACAAGCCAAATTAGCAGTGAAACAGAATAATGAGAAGAAATCTGCTTTAATTGCAGACAGTTACCAGGATTACATTAAATATAAAGACCCCAACCACATTACCAGTGACCTGAATTCTTTTGTAGATCACATACCAAAATGGTTATCATTATGCTTGATTTAGGCTCTGAATACAGGTTTGACAATGTTAATTTTACAACCTTCCCATATGAATTTGGGCCATAACAAATGACTTTTAAATAAAATGCATTTCTACATTTTCCAAGACCTCAGACCATCCCAGAGTCAATGAAATATATTTGTTTGCAGTTAAGTAGTGGTGAGATAGAACAAATTTTCCAGAATGGCACCAATTTTTGACAGAAATTTCCTTGTTTGTTATTTGTAAATAACTCATGGGAAAGTAATTTTAAGCTTTCAACAAACTGATAATAAACATGAAGTAGATTGTATTAAAAAAAAACTTACTTGTGACATGTGCATTGCCAACAAGGTCATACTGGCAATTCAAAGCTGACTTGAAAAAGTGGCATTGGGAATTAGAGTTCGCTCAGGGTCTTGTTTCAAAGACATGAAAATGTTTCTCGGCAAACCTTGCATTGGAATCTACCCTCGACACATTGTAACAGGGAGAGAAAATCAACCCTCTTGGAAAAACGGCACTTCAGGTATAACCAATGGAATTGCACCTCAGGATCTTCAAAGAAGAGCAAAGCCTGTACTCATTGGAGTTTAGAAGAATGAGAGCAACCTTATTGAAACATATAAGATTCTTAGGGAACTTGACAAGGTAGGTGTGGATAGGTTGTTTCTCCTTGTGGGATAGTCCAGGGTCACCTCTGAAAAAAGAGATGGAGTTTAATTCAGACAAATGCGAGGTGATGCATTTTCTCTCAGAAGGTAAGAATTTATGTAATTTTTTAATCGCAGAGGGCTGTGGAAGTGGGGTTGTCAAGTGTGTTCAGGGCTGAGATAGATTTTCAATCAGTTGAGGAATCAAGGGTTCTGGGGAAAAGGCATAAAAGTGGAGTGGAGGATTATCAGATCAGCTATGATCTCATTGAATGGCAGTATAGACTCGATGGACTGTTGCTGGGCTTACTTCTGTGCCTACCTTTTATGGTCTTAAAAGTGAAGAAAATGGAAAATTATGATTCCACAATGTTTTTGAACTTCAAGAGTAATGAGATCAAACTACTTTCATAAGAAGTGAAACGCATCAATTGAAAAGAATTGCTGTTCCATCACTGGCTAATGTGCAAGAACTACACTAAATTGAATGAGGCCCAACAGGATACATCATACAATATGTGGGCAGAGAGGGATGAAGCTCCATTTGAGGCAGGAAACTCAATAAAGAATGGCAATAATATGAAAAATAAGGTTTCCCTGAGGCACTGGCCCAAAATGTATAGCAAGTGATTCTAGTTCATATATGTCATCAACAATGTTAATCTTTATCACTGCTTTCCAGTGAGCAGAATTAAATGAGTAATAATGCAGAAATGTTTTCACATTAATATTCATATCTGATGAGCCTCTCACCTTTGGTTTTGCTATTTTACAGGTGCAGCAGATGGTAAAAAAGGATCTGGAGGAGCTGGGAAAAAGCACATCACAATATTGAAAACCTATGTGTCACCTTGGGAACAGGCCATGGGCAACGACCCTGACCTGAAGGCAACCATGAGTTTACACATGCAATCTCCATCCAGCCCAACCAAGTTGCATTCTTATAAATCTTTCAACAGGTGAGGTTCCTGATGCCAAGTTAACAGAATGAGTTAGAATTCAACAGCAGGGATAATGTTCCTCCTCCCTCTAGAATCTTCTTGGTCTCATTGTGGTCTGCACTTTCCATATGCCAGGGGAGGCAATGGCCTAGTGGTATTATCGCTGGACTTTTAATCTGGGTTTGAATCCTGCCACGGCAAATGGTGGAATTTGAATTCAATAAATATCTGAAATTAAGAATCTAGCCATGAATCCATTGCTGATTGTCGGAAAAACCCGTCTGGTTCACTAATGTCCTATAGGGAAGGAAACTGCCATCCTTTCCTGGTCTGGCCTACATGTGACTCCAGACCCACAGCAATGTGGTTGACTCCCAACTGCCCTCTGGGCAATTAGGGATGGGCAATAAATGCTGCCTAAAAGCAACACCCTCATCCTGTAAATAAATAAAGGAAAAAAAAATCAGAAAGTGTACAGCTTCCAAATCTTACAGAAGATGTGTTTTTGTGTGTGTGTGTGTGTGTGTGTGTGTGTGTGTGTGTGTGTGTGTGTGTGTGTGTGTGTGTGTGTAGATAGTCTGGGTCACGGTGAGCTAATATATCAATGTCCTGAGTGTTACCATTGACCAAAAACTGAACTGAACTAGCAATATGAAAACTATGACTACAAGGGCAGGTCAGGGTCTAGGAATCCTGCAACAAGTAACTCAATGTCTGATTCCCCAAAGCTTGTCCACCATCTACAAGGTACAATCCTCCCTCCTTGCCTGGATGGGTGCAGCTCCAACAACAGCTCGAGAAGTTTGATGTGGTGCAGGACAAAGCAGCCCGCTTGATTGGCACCACATCCACAAATATTCTCTCCCTCCACCACCAGCCCACAATGGCAGCAGTATGTACCACCTACGAGATGCACTTTCTTAGACCGCGCCTTCCAACCCCATGACCAATGCCATCTACAAGGATAAGGGCAGCAGATACCAGGGAATGTCACCAAATGCAAATTCCACTCCAAGCAACACACCATTCTGACTTGGAAATACAGTGCCGTTCCTTTACTGTCTCTGGGTCAAAATCCTGGAACTGCCTCCAAAAAGCATTGTTACACATTATTACAATTAGTATTACATATTAGCATACCATCAAATGAATTGCAAAGTTTCATGAAGGCAGCTCAATATCACCTTATCAAGGGCAATTAGGGATTGACAATAATGACTGCTTAGCGAGTGAAGCCCACATTCTCTGAATATATAACTAAAAAGTCAGGTGATAATAACATTTCTTTGATTTTCTCAAAAACACCCACAAATGTTGCTTCTATGCACTATCTATTGTCTTGTGTAACAGCTGACATTGTGGTTTATTTAAGACAGCGAACTTGCTGACATGATTGACCATACCCATGAATCCCTGCAGCTCTGTCATATTTTGAAATCTCCTTGACTGGTCTTGTCCTCTGCTGATCAACTCTCACACCAAATACATCCACAACATGCATAAGGAATTTGACAGGTTTCTATAAGAATTCGCAGTTGTTACTGAGTCCTGCTTCTTGTAGGTGTTGTAGCACACCTCACACTCCAGTGCGTTCTTCTACGAGTGAATCTGTGTACTACGATATCTACATAGGACATACAACTCTATCCAGCCCTCTAGGATGCTTGACATTATCCTCTGGAAGAATTCTAGTGCTGAAGTGATACTAAAGCATAATGTTCCAATTGGTGAAAGGTTGTGAGCAAATTAAGACTCTTCATTGAGGGGTAGTTTCCCAAAAATCATGATTTGCATCTAGTTTCACGGAGATAGAACTCTTTCCTGACTTTGCATAGACCCCTTCACAGACAACATGCAATGAACTTTGCATTCAAGTACATTTTTCAGCTGAGAGAGATCTGGGCAGATATTGAGATCCATTGGGCTTTGGCACTGAGTCCATTCCAAGCACCAATATATTAGTTTGCTACAGGTGAAATAATCCCTTGCTTTAACATCGAGTCAATTTCTGGATGTAAACAGACATTGGCTTCATTTTGGCAAGTGGAGTGATGTTATGTACTATTTTCAGTTTTTCTAATCCTGTGCATTGCTGTGGAAATTCAGTTTCAATGTTTTTAGGTTGATCTTCTTTGCTTTTCAATTTCTCAACTTGGCAAATCAAATGCCATTTGGTACAGGAATAATTTTGGTTCGGTAGTGGAAAGTTTCAATTATTTTTCTCTTTCTGTATTGAAGGCTTGCATTCAGTTGCCCTCTGATATTCAGTTCTATACCTCCTGGTCCATATAGTTAAACTTTTCACCAACCACCATTTTCGATCAGAAAGAACCAAAGCTGCTGCACCTGTGTCCAACTTAAAGTTTGAATCTTAAAACAAATCTTGTTTCCCCTTCCGTGGATATCAGCCCTCAAGTATCTTCTGCTTGATTCCAACATCTTGTCAAGGAAATGCATCACGATATCATACAAATTTTCTATTTCATGGATCTTGTTATCTTTTGAGGTCTCCTCTTTTAGATTATTCTGTAAAACCTTCTTGCTGTGACTCATATCATAGAAGTGACATTTCTTGCATAAATGATACATTAGATCTTTGGTGAGATAATTTTCAGACCAGCACTTTTTCTGCAACATTGATCACAGTTACCTGAGGCTCCTCCTGCCAAACACCAATTCACCGCACCCTACACCCTCCCCACCAACCCCGAGACCCCCTATACCACTGTTTTTTCACAGCTCTTCTCTGCTTTTGATTGTAACATATTGCACTTGGTTAGTCATTTTTGGGACATGGTTCTCCCTACCACTCCAAATCACTGATCAATTTTTTTTCCTGCCCTCTGTTTGTCTTCTCATTGAATTGCCTTTAACTCATCTCTTGACTTCAAGTGGTCAGACAATACTTAACTAAGACACCAAAACAATAATGTCCCTGATTAGTTCTTTTAAGCTGCCTTAAGCTTTTAACAATTCTATGCAAGTCTGTAGAGATTGTTGATAAAAGTATCAATACTTCCATCTATCATTGGGAGAACTTGCTAAATTTTGTCCATATGATAATGTATTTTTTGCAGATTGAAGTAGGTATCTAGCTCTTTTATTACTTCTGTGCATGTAGTGTTGTTTTTATTAATTCTGTACCTGATGAGGATATTGTTTACACAGCCATCCATTGCAGACAAGAGTGAAAAGGTAATGTTGCCACATTCTTACCAGACCATTGGAGTGCTCTCTCATCAAAGAGAGACAACTGGTGGTAGTTTAACCTGAGGGTCACCATGACCCAGCTAAGGGGAGAGATTGAGAAGGAGTGTTGTTCATGGTAACTTCAGCCAGTGCAGGAATGGAAAGCATGTTGTTGGCTTCATTCTGAATCACAAAACGACATTCAATCAACTGAGCTAAACCAACCCCCAACTGTGTACTGACCTGCTCACTGTTTGGCTTCGCAACAAGGCCTGGTGCAGTGCAATTCAGGCACGTATCTGCTTGTCTGAATCTGCAACACGATCAAAGCTTTTTGATAATGACTAACTCACAACCTGTTTATATTGCCTCTATAGATTCATGTGTCATTCTCTTTACTTGCTTTCACACCTCTTTTTGTGTTATCTGCAAACTTGGCGATAGTCAAATCCCACACTTAAGTCACTGGGGAAGAGTACAAGGCAAAAAAGTAGTGCCTCAGGAGAAGTCTGCATGTTCACAGGAAAAGATATGGGGCAAGATCAAAAAGAACTGAGAATCAAATCGTGAAACAAGTGGATGGTTTCCTTCTCTTCCATTCCCTTTGTTTATCCTTTACAAGGTAATGATGGGGTGGCATCTTGAATTGCTTCAATCCTTGAGGTGTAAGGATCCCCCCAGTTCTGTTAAGAATGGAGTTCCAGGATTTTGACCTTGCGACAGTAAAGGGACAGTGATATAGTTTCAAGTCAGGATGGTGTGTGGCTTGGAAGAAATCTTGCAGAAGGCAGTGCTTACATGCATCTGTTGTCCATGTCTTTCCAGATTGGAGAGATGGTGCATTTTGGAACTGCTGTCAAAGACTTTGTGAGTTGTTGTAGTGCACCTTGTTGACAGAACACACTGATGCCACTGTGTATCAGTGGTAGAGGGAGTGAATGTGTAAGGTGGTGGATGAGCTACTTTGTCTTGGATAGTGTCAAGTTTCTTGACTGTTGTTGGAGCTGCATTCATCCAGTCAAGTGGAGAGAAATCCATCACACTTCTAACTTGTTGATGGTGGACAGGCTTTGGGGAGTCAAGAGGTGAATTCCCTGCCACAATTTTTCAGCCTCTTATTTTTGAAATGCAACCTGGGAATGTATGTTTGTGTGACTTCTATTACTGCTAACATCAAGGGAGTTCATTTTGTGTAGCTTGCTAATGTTTACTGACAATTAGAAAATGTTTATGTCACAACTTTTGTTGTTTACCACTTATCAAATAGCTGTGTGAAATACCCAGTCTGTAACAGTTGTGTTTTCTAGGCTAGCTGACCAGTACCTTGCTTGCCCATTCAACTGGAGGGCATTTTTTTTTTATTAAAGGCTCAAAGTAACCAGCCTGGACATTACAATTTCCAAAAATCTTTAAAATGACTGTCACAATACATCAGTTTTACATGCAAATATCCCAAAGGCAGTGAGAATTGCAATATTCATAACCCTCAGTCTCTGGCAACTGTATGTGACCTGATTAGTTTCCTTAAATTAGACTGTTGCTCTGTGACTTGATACGGCCATGTCATTAGATACAGCAGCTTAGCTCTGAAATCACTGCCTACATTCTTCCAGCTGCCTTATTAAAGAAACTGCATCTTTCCTGGAGAAGGACATACTTCCAAATAAATCTGAGCTACAATTCAGATTAAACATAAAAATCTTCACAAATGACAGCATCTTGAGAAATTGTGGGCATTAGGTGCTATGAATATTTAACTTCCATTAACAAATTTTAAAATCTAGCCCTTTTCAAAACCAGTTGGATGGTATGTCACTTAAAATCAGGAGTGTACAGCACTAGCATTCCACCAACTGCTATATACTCGTGTTAATGCTCCACACAAGCGTCCTCCTACCTGTCTTCACCTAATCCTATCAGCATTTTTGCTCATTATTTCTTCACTGATTGTCATTGCATAAATTCAAAGGCAGAGTTTTGTATTTGGTGTACACAACAGTGGGAAACCGATGGCATCCTTCCAAGAAGGGTGAAAGAGACTGGTTCTGCCTTCTAAAGTGTCATCCTGTATTATAATTTAAAGCTGAACTTGTGTTTAAAATTGTTTTCAGAACTGCCATGCCGTACGGAGGGTTTGAAAAGGCAGCCAAACTGATGACTTTTCAGCTCCCGGAATTTGATACAGCTCCTCCAGAACCCGAGCCTGTGGTCATATTTCACCAAGACATCAGCTGCCGGCCAAACTTTAACAGGACCCCACTGGGCTGGACTCCAATGAGCACAGATTCTTTGGTTAACCTTGGAATAGATCTCGAGTTCAACGCTGAAACTGATGACCTGTAGAAGGCATGAACAAGTGGCTTAAAGTCACTTGTTTGGCCTTAGCTCAGGAGCACTTTGAACAGATTGCATTAGAAGTGACATTTGGCTAGAATCATCAGTGTATCATTACATAGTCTTTAAAAGTTAATGGCTTCTCAAGACCTCTTCCCTCCTCCATTATTAACATATTTTGTTACTTTATTCAAATACTGATCTATAACAGGTTTCAGGTTCCTGTGACAGTTGTGGTTCACATTGGTTAAGTACGATTAAACAAAACAAAATATGACGGAGATACGTTTTTTGCCTTTGATGCCTCTAAGACAGTAATGTTATCATGCAACTATTTTCTAAACAAAATAAAAGATAACAGAAAAACATTGACTATATTTAGTTCTGTATGTGAAACACGGCATGAGTCTGTAAATGCTTGTTCACATATCTGTATTTGATGCTCTGAATCTCGTCCACCACCCAGGAAATAGCTCTCCTAGTTTAATACCAATAGCAGCAAGATTAATTTATATGGTACCCTAAATATAGTAAAACATCAGAGGGTGCTCAGTAGGATCATTATCAATCAGAATTTGACACCAAAAGCAACATGAGGAGATGTTGGGGAAGGTGACCAAAAGCTTGGTCAATGAGTTTGGTTTTAAGGAGCATTTTAAAGGAAGAAAATGAGGCAGAGAAGGAAATCTGGTGCCAAGGGCTATGCCTGGGTAGAAGGATTAAAATTAGGGATGGTAAGGAAGCCAGAATTGAAGAAATACAGATTTATTTCTTTTTCCTTATTCTTTCATGGGCTTAAATGTCGCTGACCAGGCCAGCATTTAATTTGCCCGTAAATGCATGGCATGCTCAGCCATTTCAGAGGCTAGTTAAGAGGTAACCACATTGCTGTGGGTCCGGAGTCACATATAGGCCAGACCAGGTAAGGACAGCAGATTTCCATCCCTAAAGAACATTAATAAACCAGATGATATAGCAAGAACTGCAGATGCTGGAGTCAGAGATGACAAAGTGTGGAACTGGAGGAATATAGCAGGCCAGGCCTTTCTGAAGAAGGGTCCCGACCTGAACTGTCAGCTTTCCTGTTCCTCTAATGCTACCTGGCCTGCTGTGTTCCTCTAACTCCACACTTTGTTGTCTATATTAATAAACCAGATTTTGTTTTATAACAATCAATGGTCACCATCGTTGAAAGTAGCTTTGCATTCCAGACTTACTAACTGAACTTAAATTCCACTAGTGGGATTTGAACCTAGGTCCCTAAAACGTTAACATGTGCCTCGGGATTACTAGGCCAGTGACATTACCACAGCACCATCATCTCCCCTTCTTATGTTGGAGGGTTGTCGAGCTGGAAGTGGTTACAGAGTTAGGTATGGCCAAAACTGATTTGAAAACAAGGATAACGATTTTAAAAACAAGGCATTTCTGAACAAGAAGCCACCATAGATCAACGATAATGAATGATGAGTAAATGACTTTAGTGCCAATTATGATCTGAATAGCAGAGGTCTGGATAACCTCAAGTTAATCTTAAGAATAGAAAATGGAAGGTCAGCCAGGAGAACATTGGAATAGTCAATCTCAAAGCTTTCAGTCACAAAGGAGCTGAGGCAGGGGAGTTGGGTGACCTTAGCGAGTTGGAAATAAATGGTCTTATGAATATTGTGCAGCTATGTCATATTGTGAAACACTAAATCTGTGTCGGTCAACTGAAATCACCGATTAGCGTCAGTTTTTTATTTACTCGATCATGGGGTGTGGGCGTTGCCGGTGATGCTAGCATTTATTGCCCATCCCTAATCACCCAGAGAGCAGTTAAGAGTTAACCACATTGCTGTGGGTCTGGACTCACATGCAGTCCAGTCCAGACCAGGTAGGGACAACAGTTTCCTTCCCTCAAGGACATTAGTGTGGCTACAGTGGCACTGTCTTATCCATATGTGCTGTTTTACTAGAAAAAGCCCCTCACACATTAACTGAGCAAACATCCACTACCACTCATTAAAGCACTAAAGACTCAATAAAACAACAGCACATTGTCATATTTATATAAGCATGCAATCATGATCACAGGTTGAATACTATTGGTTTTTACTTGTTTCATACTTGTTTAATAGAAATGCAGTTAGCAATAATACCGTTCATCGGTAATACTCTCTTGACCCTGATCAGAAGTTACGGATTGAAGTCCATCTCTGAAATTTAAAAGTATCATCTCAACTATGGCCTCAGCATAGCTCAGGGGGAATGTTAAATTGCCTGGGGTGCCATTTTTCAAATGAGATGTTAAACTGAGTTCCTGGAGGCCTGTTCAGATCTAAGATCCATGGTTCTTTTAGGAACAAGAAAACAGGGTTCCCCAATCAATCCATTCATCTTTCAATCGACTCCAGTAAAACAGCTTGGGGGGAAGGAGGTTGTCATAGCTATAGAACATGAAGACAAGTTAGCGATCACAACTGCTCTCCTGGTTTACAAGCCATCACATCACCATGGCTCAAGATCAATTTCATTAGCAGAGAAGGAGAAAATGAGAAAGAAGTGTGGATGAAGGAGAAGCATCACAGCTGTGGTGATGTCACTGGGGCCTATCATACTCCATATATCTACAGCAAATACATTTGTTCGGCAACCACTGTATAAACAAACCTGTTCTGGAGGACAAATATATAAGCACAGCAAGTTGGTGAGTGAGAAATAATCTTCAAAAGATGAGTAAAAGTTAACTCATTGGAAATGGCTGTGTATTCAGAAAGCACACTTAACATTGTGAATCACTGAAACAGAACAGTTCTCTTTCTATCTTTGTTCATTTCACTACTCCCCCAGCGATATGCCATATTATTGTTTTCATTGAGTTTTAGACGAATGACCCAGTTCCAATGCACGGGACATTATAAGGCTTGAGGTAGGTGGCAGATAGAGTAAAAATGAGAATGAATGAACAGATGGGGAAAATGAAACACTAAAGAGTGGGTTGAGGAACCTTACATGGAAGACATTGGGAAATTTGCATATGATACAGTGAAACAGAGCACATTTATCAGGAATAATTGTACAGTGATGACTATACAATTATTCCTGATAAGTGTGCTCCATTTCACTGGTACTTAAATGGGTCACAGGAACATCAGATGTAGGAACAGCAGTGAGCCATTCAGCCCTTCCAGCCTACTCCATACTGAATAAGATCAGAGCTCATCTGGCAGTGGTCTCAACTCCACTTTCCTGTCTGAACCCCATAACCCTTAACTCTCCCATCTAACAAAAATGTATCTAGCTCAGCCTTGAATAAATTTCAAGACACAGCCACCATTACTACTGAGGAACAGAATCCCACACTCATTTTTGACAGAAAAATATTCTCCTGTTATTCTTGAACTACACCCCTATTTTAAATCTCCCCTACAGGAAGAAACATTCTCTGGGCATCAATGTCACCCATTACCCTCAAACTCTTATGTGTTTCAGTTTCAGATCACCTCTTATTCTTCAAAGCTCCAATGGGTAATGAGATAACTCCATAGGGACCAGTATCTATCACCAAGTCACCCTTTGTTTACAATGCACACAGTACTTGACACTGGTCAGGCATCCTCAGAGTGAGCAGAGCCACTGACACTCCTATATATATCTGTCAGCCAGGGCTCCCTGATTGGACCAGATTAACAGCCTCAATCAGTGAATTCATATTCTATGAGTTCCACCTGGCTGAACTCGTTATAATCACTAAAGGTACAGACCTAACCTATTCAACCTTTCGTCATAAATTACTTGTGGATGACCCGCGTTCAAAGATTGCCCTTTAGTCCTCCATGATTTCACTGAGTCCAATAAAGAGAAGCTCTGAAGGTACACATCACATGTTTAAAACTGTATTTGCACATTTTGTTTTCTTAAGCTCAAACGTTATCAAATTATTCCCTAGGATGTGCTTTGACTCATGAAACTTGAGTTCAATGCATTTACTCAAATGCCCCACAGAAACAGCATTGAACACGAAGGCAGAACTTTGTACCTTTCGCATCCTGGCCAATAGGAATCTCGGCAACAATGTCCTTTTTGCCATACGAAAATCAAAACTCTTATCCTCTGACTCAGTCCCTGACAGTAATTCAAATTGTTTCATTGAGTGTTACTTTGAGTCTAATCGTATCTTATTGGCACACTGTGAGATAACTTTATCTCAGATCAGGCATGGTCTTCCTGAATGGCAGAGCAAACTTGAGGGGCTGAATGGCCTACTCCTGTTCCTAATTTTTATGTTCAAATGGGTGAAGTTGTAAAATTTGTAACAGTGAATCAGCACCTGTTACACACCCTACCTGTTATATGCTCCACTTACATACTTCATCCATTGTATGTCCCCATTATTGCTCGATTTTCCTTTACACTGAAGTCAATTACAATGGATACCAAATACCGAGAGACCAATTCAAAATTGCTCAATTAACATTTTGTTCAATTTGTACTATACATATGAGATAACAAGGTGTAGAGCTGGATGAACACAGTAGGCCAAGCAGCATCAGAGGAGCAGGAAGGCTGACGTTTCGGGCCTAGACCCAAGGGTC